ATATATATATATATATATATATATATATATATATATATATATATATACACACACACACACTTTTTTTTGGATATATATTTATACTTATATTGTATATAGCTGTTAAATGTTTATACCTACATCTGTTCTACTTTTTTGCTGCCCTTTTTTATTCTTTATATATTTTTTCTTGTTTATTGTAAATTTGTGTTTGTACATTGAGAGCGGACTGTAAACCGGAGACAAATTCCATGTATGCGTACACACACATGAGCAATAAAGCCGATTCTGATCTCATTACATCTCTTCACTGCTATGCTGATGATACTCAGATCTATCTGCCCCTCAATTAAAAAGAAAATCAGGCCGATTTAACTCAATCACACAACTGTCTCCAATACATTTCATGCTGGTTAGCTCATAATTTGCTTCAGTTGACGCTATATATATTAGTGCTGGGCAACGATTAAAATATTTAATCACGATTAATCGCATTGTTATGAGCAAAGTTCAATAATGAATTCAGACTCGCACTTTTATTTTAAAGTACTGCTATATGAACAAAAGTGCAACAACATTTGGTTTGCAAACACTTTAAACAAATAAGGTTATTTTTAACAGCAGTATTCCCTTTACACAGTAGCAGTTATAACACAGTTATAATGATTCTGAGCATAGATATTCAGCCAGTGTTCATAACTTTATCTTCATGTGTGTAAGAGATGCAATTTAAATATACACCTTGAAAACTGCAAACATATCTACTTCTTTTTTTATGTTTGTTAAATTCTCAGTAGTGACAACTAAATTATGCTTATTATACATATTACAAACAAAACACTTTAAAAACTCGACAATATGTATTTTAATATTGTTACTGTTGTAAATTGTTTGAGTGCATGATTTACTTTTATTGTGAAGAGCATGAAAACGGAAGTGCTTTTACTTTGAAGAGACAGGAAGTAGAATGGTACGTGTTCTTGATGCTAACAATGTTAATGAAATGTAGAAAACCACATGTCGGGTGCAAGAGGGCGTTGTGTTCACTGTAACATTGTAATACTGCAGTTCAGACAGTAAAGTGTTCCGTTCAAACAAGACGTGTCTTGGTCCTCACGAGAAGCTCCACTTCACAACAGTCACGTTTGATCCTGTAACAGACATCGCGCTCGCGTGTGTGTGTGTGTTTGTGTGTGTGTGTTTGTGAGACAAGAGTGAACGACGGTGACGGAGTGTAGGAGGGGCTCTGGACCCGGGGGGAAGAAGGAAGTGACGCCACACGAACACAGCTGTTCACTGCTTGCTGCCTGGTTCTTGTGTTAAAAATATCGCTTAATAATACAAATAAACAAAACTGCGTTAACGCGCGATAATATAATTGTCTGCGTTAATTAATTAATGCGTTAAGGGGTTAACTTGCCCAGCACTAATATATATAGCGTACCAGTGGACTCATATATATATATATATATATATATATATATATACACTACATTACAACTTTTTAATCGCATTGTTATGCTTAAAATTCAATAATGAATTCAAAAGTAGTGTATTGAGCACTTTTATTTTAAAGTCCTGCTATATGAACTAAAGGTCAATAACATTTGGTTTAAACACATCAGGTTGTTGTTAGCAGCAGTATTCCCTTTACACAGTAGCAGTTATAACACAGTTATAATGATTCTGATCATAGATATTCAGCCGGTGTTCAGAACTTTATCTTCATGTGTGTAAGAGATGATATTTAAATATACTTCTTGAAAACTGAAACCTATCTACGTCATGTTTTTATGTTTGTTAAATTCTCAGTAGTGATAACTAAATGATGCTTATTATACATATTCCAAACAAAACACTTTAAAAACATAATTTAAATGAATCATTCATACACATATGCAACGCTGATTACTGTAATATGTGTGGTATTTGTTATAAATGTACGTTGGTACATAGAGGGTGATAAGAAATGATTAATCTAATATAAATATTATATATATATATATATATATATATATTTATATTTATTATTATTATTATCGACGGTCTCACTGATCTTTCTGTTATTATTATTATTGTCTTGTTTTTGCTGCTTTGTCTGTCAAAGCACTTTGTAAACTCAGTTTTTAAAGGCAGCCACTGCCAAGGACAAGGGCAGGCTGCAGCGCATCATTCGCTCTGCTGAGAGGGTGATTGGCTGCAATCTGCCGTCCCTCCAGGACTTGTTCGCTTCAAGGACCCTGAAGCGAACAAGAAGGATTGTAGCCGACCCCTCTCACCCTGCACATGAACTGTTCGTGCCCCTTCCATCTGGCAGGAGGCTGCGGTCCATCAGGACCAAGACCTCATGACACATGAACAGTTTCTTCAGTCTTCAGTCGGGCTCATCAACAAAGCCCAGGACCCCACTGACTCTGTCATCCCCAGGACAACCTCCTACTGTCACTCCCCTGCACATCCCTCTATGTTTATATAGTTAAACACACTCGACACTCTTAATATTTCACTTAAATTTCACTTGTTTACAGTCCTGTTATCTGTCTGTTGTGCACTTTATTTTATACTCTTTTATATTCTATTGTACATTTTAATATGTTTCTATTTCTTGCACTGTGTTGATTGTTTAATGTTATTTTTTAATGTTATTGTTTAATGTTATGCACCACCCGCCATGACAAATTCCTTGTAGGTGCAAACTTCCTTGGCAATAAACGGTTCTGATTCTGATTATTATTATCATATATTATATATTGTATAGTATACTATTATTATTATATATTATTATTATTATTATATATTGTATAGTATACTATTAGTATTATATATTATATTATTATTATCATTATTATTACTATATATTATATATTGTATAGTATACTATTATTATTATATATTATATTATATTGTATATTATTAGTATCATTATTATATATTATTATAACCGACTACATCCGGGACACGAACCTCTGTCGGCGGGCTCCTCCGGTTGTCTCTCGGCCGCTGTAGAGGCTCCTAACGCGGTGAAGATGAGCTCCACGGCCGCGGTGATCCGCTCCGTGACGCGTTGCTTCAGCTCCACGTCCGCCTGTCGCTCCTTCAGCAGACAGAAGATCTCCTCCGCGGCCGCAGACAGATGCTCGTGGATCGCAGCCCGCAGGCTCCGGTTGTCCCGCAGGCTCCGGTTTTCGATGCTCTTCGACCGTTTTTTGGACATTTTTAGCGGAACTTCCACCGAACAAAGAGGAGCATGTAAACAACGAGAGTACACTTCCGGGTTCCCCCGAATGAGCGTCTTTGCGTCAGACGTTCCTTACGTTGGGGTATGACGTCATCTCGTCATACCGGATCTGCTGAGACCCTCAGCTCCTTTAAATCCAGATTGAAGACTTTTCTGTTTGCTGCCTTTACTTGAACCACATTCAAGGATATTAATACATTTCTGCATTTTACTCCTGTGTTTTATTTCTTACACTGCTTTCTAGTGTTTTAATGAGTGTTTTTAGTGTTTTAATGAACGTTCTTGTTTTTAAATCTCCTTTTCTTTTGCCTTGTGTTTTGATGCTTTTGATGGTTTTATGTGAAGCACTTTGAAACACCTCGTTGTTGAAATGTGCTCTACAAATAAACGTGCCTGGTCAACAGCTGGCTGCTACCAGCACCAGACAACACCACGTTTTTTTAACGTTTCGATGTGAAAACGTCACAGAACGAACTTTAGACCAAACTCGTCTAAAGATCAGTGTATTTAAAGATGACGTCATGATTTAAAGAGACACAATGTTCAGAAACATAAACAGATTATGAACCACAGCTACCTTCTAATAGATTTATATACATATATATATATATATACATATATATATATATACATATATATA